TATTCTTTTTACCACAAAAAAAGAGTATTAAAGACTGCTTTGCTTCTCAAAATTAAATTTTGTGCCCAAGGAGAGCGCTTCACTCCCTTTACCCTAATCCTGGGCCTAATTAAAAGATCCCAAACAAAAAAAAAAGATCTACAACATTGACACAGCATTGCAGGAATAATTCGGATCAAGAATCATATGTAAAGCAAACTACCTTAAATATTGGCTACTTGTGTACACAGGGTGCTCTGAATTCAAGAATGAATTAAACACATCTTTTGAGCTGGGTCCAGAAAATCATACATATCTGTGCTTTCCTGAATTATAGACAGCTCTTCCCTGTGAGTTCTTACTGGGGAAAGATTAAGTATTAGTCAAGTGTAGGGACCATGTCTTCCCTTGTGTGTCCCCTAGGGCCTATCACTGTGTCTAGGATGTAGAAATCAGTGTTGTATAATGGAATTCATAAAACTTTGGAATTGTAATGCTTGAAGTTCAAATTTCAGTTCCCCCTTCCAACCTTACAAACTGTGAAAACTTGGGCAATCCTTTGACCCCCTTATCTAGAAAACGATGTAAATGCTTAACTTTTGGGGATTGTTATAAGCATTAAAGGGGAAGGGTTACATAGAGTGCCTGATACTTAGTAGCTGCTTAATAAATATCTTTTGAGTGAAATTCCCTTCTTTCATTATTATTTTTCTTTTCAATTATTCTGAAACAAGATTTCTTCTAAGGCAGTTTCTTGTTTTACAATCTATATGAGCTAAGCTCATCCCATCTTAAGACTGATGTCATGTTCTTCCAAAGGATTATTGATCCAAGAATGTGGAATCAGAATGGATCTTTAACTTTACCAGATAGAGGGCCATTCAATGTGTTTTATTAAAATAAAGGTCAGAAGGGCAATATTCATACTAAACTCATTTGAACCATAGTGAGATTTATCCATGCCCTTCAAAATAGCTTTACATTCTGAGCTCAGGCCCATAAAAGTTGATATATTTATTTTGAGAATATATAATAGGCTCATAGCCACATCAGATCTTTGATTTAACTGAGTGACAAATCAATTAACCACATTTTGCTTTAATCCTCTTGTCTAAAACATTAAAATTGAATTCTGGAAATAATTTGTTTTGGTCCCATAGTTTGGAATATATATGTATATTATCAGCTGACCCTCCTGTCCACCAATCTTGTGTGCTTCATAGAGTCATTAGCAAGCATGAACAGTTCATGGATTTAATGTGCTCTTTGGCAGAGATGAAAAATGCTGAGATTTGGGTCAAGGACTCAGCAATCATAAAATTCCTTTGCAGCTGCCCAGGAAAAACACCAAGTTCTACCAACATCTTAGCATGTAGATGGTATCTTTAAAAAAATATTCACACATGTATTTTTAAAGTGATGATACTAGTAAGAGTGTAGAAAAATGACCACATAAACTTTGCAGGTGAGACTGTAAACTGGTAGTGTGAATGATAATTTGAGAATATTAATCAAAAATGGATATTTAGCCTCTAGCGGATTACCTTAAAGAAATTATTATAAAGATACATCTATAAGAATGTTTTATAGCATTAATTTTAATGATGAAATTCAGAAGCATTCTAAAATTCAACAATGAAGGATTAATTAAATGAAATGTGATACATCCATTCAATGGATTTTCAATGAATAATCGTTCAGTCTTTTCCATGTAGAAGGGACCAGCTTCCTCTTCCTACCTTTTGGGACATTCCCCATGAGTCACATCCTCCTGTGAAAAGATATCTGCCCTCCTCCTTTCTGTGAAGCTTCTTTGGTGCACAGGTTGTAGCAGAGAGAAGCTAACAAGTTTACTGCCAAAGGATAATAGAGCTGTAGACTTTCTAAAAATATGCTGATTATATATGCATTTTAATATTCTACAATCATATGCACTAAACTGTGCTCAGGGATTATGCTGGATGATGGGGTTAAAAAGGGTCTTTCATGTTCCCTGAATTGTTTACAAAGTTTTATCAAGGGGAACAAATTTATTTTGAAATGTAAACAGGAAAAACTATCATGCTGGCCCAATACACAAACACCTTGAAGCTAGAGAGATAGTCAATAAATTAATCATGCTAATCATTACGATCTGTGTTATTACTAAAGCAATAGCAAGATAATGAAATAGCTACAAACCAACACCTAGAATCACTGTGTGATTCCAAGGAGCATTGCTTTAGAGACTCATCTATTATGGATTATATCACAACTTCTTGTACTACAAGGCAATTTCGACTTACTTATGTATTAATGTTAGAAAATATTCAATTAACTTCCTATTGTTTGTTGGGTGCACATGATGGCAAGGACTGTGTTTATATGAAAATTCCCATTTCTACAATTTTCAGCATGTCAATATTGCACAGAGAAAAACTAAGCACTAGAGAGCTAGAAGAATACTGCTCAGTTGGCCCCTTAGCCAGTAGTTTTAATGGCACAGTGGGGTCCCTGAGGAGACACAGGGTTTGCATAATGACCATGCAGTTTATCCTCCCTCAAGCACCACTGCTTGTAATTAGAAAGAATACATAGCATGCTAAATAGGTCTATAATTTAAGAGAAAAAATCTTGCTCTTTAAAAAAAAAATGGACTTGACTCTATTGGGATCCAATCAAACCATTAGATTACTTTATGGCGCTGAAGTGGGTAAAGAAACTATCCAGGATTGGCACCTACCATTTGAAAAGGTTCTTAAACAATGCTTGGGAGCAGAGAATCTTATCTCACTCAGGGGATACAGTGGCCTTAAGCTTATTCATTATCTGCACGTGAGGGGGTTACCAAGGCCACGTGAAAAATGGTCTTGAATCTACATCATTCAAGGAGCTGACCATGGCCTGTTTAAATAGGGGAAATTTAGCCTTCAAAATGTCCAAAGAAACTAGGCATACCAAACAACTTGCAAGAACGATGAGTTCTTTTCTGCCAATAATGCTACCATAATTTAAAATGTTATCTTTGTGCTTTATTGTTACCATAACAGTGAGAGATTCATTGTCAACAGGATTATTTCAATGACTGGTGAAATTAGCAGTTTTTAATTAGCAATTACCTTTACTATCAACAGTAGTACAACCATCTATGATGACATTAAAGTTTTCTGTAAATAATAACTAAAATGGCAGCATGCTTAGAAATAAAAAACAGGGTCTTATAAAAATTGAGCTTTGTGTTTCCATTGACATAAGACTCAGCTTCAGTCAGTTATTGGTGGGAGAAACAATATGAAAAGTAGAGAACTCTGGATTAGTCTGTCTGGAGTCAGACATTTTCTGACTCCAGACATATCAGAGTATCAGAAATGGGACTTGGGTTCACACTGCAGCCTACTATTACCCTACAGATGGCATGCCTACAGATGTCACTAGTTGTTAGCAAATCTTTTCTTAGGATCTACAAGAGTCTTGAGAATCATCACCTAAAGAAGCTAATGTATCCTCTAAGAGTCCTTGTGGCCCTCTGACAACCATGGTGAATTGTTCATTCCTGGAAAGATGTCATATGAACACAGCACATAAATTCCTTCCTCAAACCTTACGTTGGAGTTGCTACAAAAGCAAAAGGGGGAGGTTGATGGGTCTCACAAAGTGAAATAAAATTGGGATAAAATTCCTGGAGAGAGATTGTTTGGGATTGGGAATGGGGAACCATGAGCAGGGGGATAGACTTGGGAGAACACTTTCAGGCTATGTCTGTCCTATTTTCTACATTGCCCAGGCTCCGCCATTGCTATACCAAAGACAATAAGAGGCAGAAAAACAGCAAAATCAGCATAGAGCTAGAAGCAAGTAGCCTGCGAACTCCAAGGCAATGCTAGAGCCCAGCCGGAGCGAGAAGCAGATAATAACAGTGGTAGGCTTGCCAGCACCTGGGCATTTCAACCAGTGCTTGTCAGAGAGTCATTAGGACGCTTAGAGGATACGTTAGGTTCTTTAGGTGATTCACAGGCTAATCTCCTTTAGCATAATCTTTTGTTCCTTTTAAAAAAAAATATTAAAAGCCTTCTAAAATCTTCTGCTGAATCCTGATATATAAAATAGATAAGATCAGCCATGTCCTGGTTGAATCAGGACTGCAGACCTGGGATTCTGCCTTCTAGGCAGACAATACTCCCCGCTATGAGGATCCCATAGAAATCTCTATGCACACCTAGCTGAAAAACCATCACCCCAACATTTAGAGTGTGGCAATACCGATAGTTCCATGTATTTTACTTTTCTTTGTTAATTAACAATTCATTATACTGATAAAAGACCTTATTTCTTTTCTTACTAAATAAATCACCTTTTGTTGTTGTTTCTACTGGTAGGAGAGGAATGTGAATTGGTGGTCCCAGGCTTATTTGCCTTCTTTATTTTTCTATGGATGAGAAAAGTCTTTAAAACTTATCTCGCTTCGCTAGATCTCAGTCTCAGGCATTATCTAAGAGTTTTAGGGATTTAGACCCTAGAAATGACTCGTAAGAGAACAATCTGCATAACTCCTGACGGATGAAGACACGGTATAAATGTTGGACCCAGGATCTGGCCTGTAGGGGGAAGATTATTGCTAGAGAAGTGAAAACCGCTCATTCCTTCAACCGTTCATCACCCGTGCATTTGACACAACCACCCATCCAGCAGATACTTCTTCGGCATCTATAGAGAACTTCTTAAGAACTGGGGCTTTGGCTTGCTCATACCTGAGTCCCGTACAGAGTCTCTAGCATAATAAGCACAAGGTAGGTACTCAAAAAATATGTGAGGGTCGAAGACCTTATTCTTGAACTCATGGCATCAGGCTCTGAGGGTGGGCAAAACTGCTTCTAAACTTTCTACTGCAATTGCAGAGATAAACATTACCACCTTGTAAGGGCTTCCTCAAAGCCAACCTGTATTTCCACAGCTACAGCTTAATTCTATCTTGCGGCTCACTCAAATGAAACAGAAATCAGCTCTGCCTGCGAAGGCTCTGAGACAAAGAATGAACTTTACACTTTAAGACACAAGACTAATTTGTTTATTCGGTGCGCTCTATAAGTTGAGGAGGGATATTTTTGGCCAATAAATAAATAAATAATCAGACAAACTGAAACTTGAGGGCAAAGAACGAGCTGAGGAAGAGGAAGCGGAGTCTTTGCATAGTTCTAAATGAACAGAAGGTGGCAGCAGTAGGCAACGCGGATTCTCAGCAGAAATGCAGCACTTGCAAGAACCAGGGACAGGAGGCTTCGAGAAAGAGAAGGTCAGAAGGTGACTAACTATTTCGTCATAGAGACCATGGTGTGGAACGTTCGTCCTCTCTACTGGAGGCAGGATGCAGCGTCTTACATGATCTGCCTGGGCATCCCGTACCCGGTCATGCCCGCCTGGGAGGCGCCCTTGTTGCTGCCCATCTGCAGGCCAATTACGTTCTGTCCCTGGCGAAGCTGCTCCTCTGAAAATCCTCTCCGATTCTGCTGGGCTTTCCTGGGCAGAGGGAGTGAGATGGAATAATGCCAGTCTGACAGTTTTCAAACCGTTCCCAAGGTATGCAGGTAGACCGGCTCTACTTGGAGTCACCAGATAGAAGAGCAGACCCCATACGAGGCTATCGTCCTGCCATGAGCTAAGGCCCTACCATGAGCTATGGCCCTACTATGAGCTATGGCCCTACTATGAGCTATAACCTTACCACAAGCAAGCACTACCATGATACTCTTCAGAAACCAAGATGGTTTTCTAGGGTTTCCAGCAATGATTAGTAGCTTGCCTCTCTGGGGACTTCATTCTCAGACAGCTTTCCTGTCACCCTCTGTCTCACAGTTACTTCAAACCCTTGTGAAAATTAAAATCAGCTCTTGTTGCCAAGCATGTCATGAACCCATTCCACCCTTCCATGTATTGGGCCAAGGACGAATGTTCCATTGTAGAGCTAAGGGACCTAGGAGTTAAGGAAGGGAAATTTCTTACTTTAGCTCAGCAGATTTCAGTAAAGAGTCAGATAATAAATAATTTTGGTTTTGGGGTTCTATGGATCATGGTCATATGGACTACTAATAAAGCTGGGACTGAAACAAGGCTTTCAACTAGCCATTATCTAGGAGGTTTTCAGACCAGGTTCCTTTAAAATGATAAAATGACACAAACTGGTACCTTTTTATAACTGTCAAGAAGAAGAAAAGGTGATTAGAGAAATGAAGAGGCAATTGTCTGGTACATGTGTTTTTCTCTGCATCTCCCACTGAGCTACTGGGTTGAGTTTAAACTCCCTTTCTTCCCCTACCCCTGAAACAACAACAACAAAACAAATCTCTTTAGGAAAAAGCCCTTTACTGACATGACCATATCATTTATTATCCAGACCAGGCCACTTGTGAGAGTAAAAGAAAGTGTTATTAATAAACATACTGGGACAACAGGCATTAACCACTGTCCCAGGCAACTAGGACATATTTTCTCTTCATTAAGTGGATAGGTGATAGATGATAGATAGATAGATAGATAGATAGATAGATAGATAGATAGATAGATTCGGGGCTATTTGGGTCATAATAAAACCAAGTTCAGACATCAAACCACACCTGAGAAAAGCCATTCAGTCCTACTCCTTCTCAGGAGAAACAGAACCTGGGTAGGGTTGGAGGATCCAGGCGTCTAGTAGGGAAGGTCTGACCATTTCTACTCTGGGTATGGATGTTGGCCTAGACATCAGCACCGGTCTTTCCTTACTCTGGGGGACTTGGTTTATGGGGCCGAGAGTACTTGTTCATTTGGGGTTTTGTGTTGAAATAGCTTCTGAGGAGCTACAAGGCTTCAGATGCTCCCTCTTGTTATCATCGTCCTCTGCTCCAGAGGGCTGAGAAGGGGTTTTTACCTGTGAAACCAGGATGGCTCTCCCCGGTAGCAGCCATCATCCTTGGTGACTGCAACACTACCAAGAGCCATCAGAGTCCTCTGCACAGCTGCCATGTCCTTCCCTGGAAACCAACAAAGAGATTAAAGCCAAGCATATGTCAGGGTCAAGGAATCTGGAAGGATAGGGCTGGACCTCCGGGAAGGAAATTCTGATAAGAGGCTGCAGATGATAACATTCAGGGGACAGGGATATGAAATACTTCTCAAAGTGGGCCAAAGACAACCATAGCAAAACCTCTCAGAAAAGAACAAAAAATCAACTAGCTCATTCTTTTCTATATGGTACATATCAGAAATGCCCAGTTTCTAATTCATTCAGAGTCGCTGTATGAATAAAACATTCCAAACACTTAGCAGCTCAGATATAGGTAGGTCCCTGTCCAGAGCAGAGGAGCTGGCCTCAGTGGGTTCTGTGGGCTGTGTTAAGGGGATGTCCTGTGGGTAGGCTGGTGTGATGGACCGCAGAAGAGGGCCTTCCTCAGGACAGGAAAGAGAAAAGGAAACTGGAAAGAAGTTAGTTAGATGGATTGGCTGCACCAAACCCCAAGTGGCTTCGCTCTTTTATCTGGTTAAAAGGGTCTAAAATCACCCATGTGCATCAAATTGAGTCTTCACTTGGCTATTTGGACTTTCAGAAGCCTGGCAAGGGAAGAAAAACGAGTTAACACAGAAAGCACTCAATGTGACACAAATGATATGTTCTTTATTTTGTGCTGCTTGAAAGGAGCTAAGTGGAAAAAATAAATAACGGGGCTGTGTGTGTGTGTGTGTGTGTGTGTGTGTGTGTGTGNTGTGTGTGTGTGTGAGAGAGAGAGAGAGAGAGAGAGAGAGAGAGAGAGAGAGAGAGAGAGAGAGAGAGGCAGAAGAAAAAGGTGGAGAAGGAGGAGGAAGAGGAGGAGGAAAAAGAGGAAGAGGGCAAAGAAGATGACAACAATGAAGAAGAAGATGAAGAAAAAGACCAAGGTAAAGAGAGATGTGTGATGTGCCCCCTCATGCCATGTGAGAGAAAGCACTGTTTTCTGAGGAGCCCAGTGCCCCTTGCCCCACAGAGAAGGCAACTGGACCTTACACGTTAGCCTGCTCCTCCCATGCTTTCTCCTTTCCCCTCTTCCAGCTGATTGACATGATCCGGACTGGAAAAGATGCTACTGTGTGGTTAGCCTGCAATTTAGAACTAGATCGAAGGTCCACAAATGTGGAGTGCAAAAGCTAAAGGCATAGGGTTAGACAGGAGGGCAGCATTCCGCCTGGTTGGAAGCTGGACAAATTAAGGTTAAAATGCTCTCTTTAGACTGAGTGTACCATCTGTGTTCTCTCCAGTCTGGCTGATGCAGCTCCGTCACTAGAAAATACAGAATTACGGAGGAAAGGAAGATGGAAAGTGAAAATGAAGTATAACTTCAATAAAATGAGCCATTAAGGCCCACAGAGGAAGTTTAGCTCAGGATGTACATTTATTCAAAGATAAGAGAGAGACAGCAGATCCTTCTTCCCTTACCTCTCTCTCTTCCATCCCATTAACCACGGGGCGATTTCCTGGGTCCTGTGGGATTAGTTAATGGATACAGGGATGAAATGCTCTCAGTGGGGAGCCCCCAGACTCAAGGGACAGCTGGGGTGGTAGAAAATGGAGAACCTGAGCAGCACGTGGAAGGAAGAGGGCACACAAGAAATACTGAGAATTAAGAGAGAGGAAAGAGAGATGGTTATTAGAATGATTCTTCTCTTTCACAGATGAAAAACATTTCTGTCACTGTCACTGTATGATAGGATACGTGGGTACTGTTTTTAAATAGAACTGTAGTGATGACATTCTGAAGGATCACTCTGGGAAGAGGAAGGGAGAGGTTTTGCTCTTAAACAGTGAGTCATTAAAGAGAACATAGAGAAATGGTTAAGCACAAGGAGGTTTAGAAAGGTTAGGATATATCACTCATCTCCACTCTGTACAAACTGCACCCTGGAAGTCTGTTCCTGATGATTGGAAAGAGTGGGCCTGATATGTCCAGGTTCTAGGGAAATGTGGAGTCTGATACCCAGCAACACAGCCACAGACATTCCCCTGGGGCCATGGGTGAGGAAGCAAGCTCTGTTAACCATAGACCCAGCCTCCTTCACAAGGAGCTGTCTAATGTGTATACTACGTGAACCCAGAAAGGATGGAGTGAACTAAGTAGGGGTTAAAACCAAGATATCCAGGAACCTAGAACTATAAATACCATCCCACCCTCCTCCCAGACAGTGGAAAAGGAAGTGATTGCACAATTGGGGCAGGAGAAGCTGGGGAAGGAGGCATTAGACAGCAATAAATTGGAAAAGTTTTCTTTAAGAAAGTTCCCGGGACGAGAGATTTGATATAAATGATAGGCCAGACACTTAATTATACATGACATTGATCGCATGGAATTGATATTATTCCTCCCAATGTGAAGATGGGAAAACTAGCTCAGGGAGGTTAATTAACGTGCCAGTCACCCAACAAGTGAACCAGGGCCCAACTCTAGTACAGGTGTTTAAATGCAAAGCCCACGAAAAGTCCACTAGGCCACTTTGCCATCTCCCATGGGTCCCCATCACTGGCTGGTTGGGAAGGCACATTCCTTGGTGATCAGGGATGATCTAAGGATGGCAGTGGCTGCTTCAGTGCCAGGCCAGAAAGAATGCACTGGGAGGATAAAACTGGGTCACAATTCTTGGTCCCCACAAGATCAAGAGCACCAACTTCAAATAGTGGTTGGTAAGTCTGAGTATTTTTGTCTGGAATAATTTCTCCAGGTCTCAACCCAAGTAAGATTAAAGCAGGAAAAAGTAGTTGGGACCTAGAGTCCCCCAGCAGTGTGCAGATCAAGTCAATTATTGTCAAGAATCTAAATAAGGTAATAAACTGTCTCCGAAAAAGAAATCTGTCTCCGTAACCAGTACATTTCTAGCTTATTTTCTTGTCATGTCTAATTAGTTTGCTAATAGATGTGCCTGTGCTGTGAAGAATTCCAGCACTCTTCGGCTGACAAAATGGGGAGAGGGCCTCTTTGCAGCCTCACTTTTCTGGCCAGTTCAAAAACCCAGATCAAGTGCTATTCAGTGGAAAGGGGACATGGGTGGAGGCTGATTCCTGGAACTGGGGGTCAAAAATTTAAACATCTAAAGGAGCAGTGAGAGTAAGGAAGATCTGTGACGTATACCAGGTAGAAAGCAACAAAAGCTAGACTGCTGTGTCACAACCAAGTGTACCTAGAACCAAGTCTGCTTCAGGCAGGGCTCCCCAAGCTGCTTGAACAATTAATGGGATAGCATAGTGGGATCTCCTTAAAAAATATGAAATTTGAGGTCATTCCCCAGCCTGAGGTAAGGCCTGGGAGTTTATATTTTTAATTAGCTCCCCAGGTGATTCTATGCCATCAGGCAAATTTGAGAAACATGGGTTTCACCTGGTGACTCCAAAACTAGACTGATCATCAGAATTACCTGAGGATCTTAAGAATTTAGATTTTGGGACAATCTCCTGAGGTGACTCTGATGCAGCCAGATTGGGTAGGGCAAGCACTGCTCTAATTCTTTGGTTTTCCATTTAAAAAAGAAAAAAATCACAATGCCTGACATATTTGTTAAGCATTAACTCTTTCTTTAAGAGATATATTCTGAAGTTAAATAGTAAAATCAATAATGAGAAGGGCTCTGATCCAAGTTGGGAGCCAGCTCAGAGGACTGGCAGCTTGGAATCTCTTTGTTCCCTGAAAGCTACCCTTAGATACCTTGGCAATACAGCTTGAAAACCCCTGCTAAATGCTATTTTTCCAAGAAAAAAAAAGAAAGAAAGAAAGAAAAAAAGAAAGAAGAGTATGAAATAGGTGCTGAGAATTTTTAGATGCTGGAGAGCAGAAATGAGACATGAGTCCTGGTGGCGACCTAAAAATGGGACCACCAGGGCTGGCCGAGTGGCACATTGGTTAAGAATTGGCTTGGGAGTGGCAGCTCTGAGCATCAGAGCCCTGGTTCAGATCCCACATGAGGGCCAGCAATGCTGCACCCTCTACAGCTAAGATGGTGAACAACGGCTTGACCTGGAGCTGGGTGGCCATGGGTTGCCGGCAACGGCGTAGGCTGCAATGGGGCTGCAGTGGGCTGCTGTGAGCTACCGTGAGTGGCTGGCAGCCAGTGTGAGTGGCTAGCAGCTGGTGTGAGCTGCCTTGAGTGGCCGTCCAATGGTAGATGAGCAACTGCCTCACCCGGGAAGAGCGCAATGATAATACCAACATGGGCCAGTGAAGCAAAATCCTCTAAAACTAGGCTGAAGAACAAAAGGACAGCAACTTGTCTGTTCCCCTCCCCCAATTCCCCAATAAAATCTTAAATAAATAAAATAGAATTAAAAAAAATAAAATAAAATAAAAATGAGACCACCAGGCATAAGAAGGGTAGTGACACATGAAAGCAGAGAGGCCCAATGTACACTAACAGCTCAGAATTTTAATCAGGCTACTTGGAACCTTCTAGCCCCCTATCACAGGAGGAAGCTAATATCAGAACTTGAAGTTGTAAAAAAAGATGGTAGCACAATTGCTTGCCTGTCTCATCAGGCAAACCTTCTCAGGGAGAATCTCAGATAGCAACTGACATTTTTACTTGACAATAGTGTGTTTCCTGTTTCCTGCATTATCAGAAAGCAATGTTTCCCCAGGTGTGGCCTTACACTCTAAACTACTGAATGATAACCTCTGGGGAGTAGGGCCAAGGGTTTTGTATTGTAAGGACCCCTGCCCCAACCCAGGGATTCTTAATGCCCATTGAGTTCGAGTGCTATTACCATAAAGATGCTTGAACAGGATTTTGTTCTCTTAAATTTTTCTTATTACTTTTATGATATCCTATGTATATCTTTGAAACAAACCAACAAAAAACAGAACAGTAAAGAGAAAGAAAAAAAGGCTAGAGATAAGTCATATGGGTGGGTAAAGCCAGGTTGGATACTCTACTTTCAATATTAAAAATCAATCTTACAGTCTAAACTCTTTGCTTCAGAGTTACTTCCGTATTATATCAGTTTTGACTCATGTTTGTTACT